TTTGTTAAAACATAATAGCACACTCATTCTGACTGCAGTTCCCTCCGTACAAACAAATCAATTGCTGTGGAGAATGCAGCAAATGCCAATCCACTACCTTAGGTCGCGCAAGAACACCGCCAACAACGAAGTCTGCAGCAATCGGGTTTAGTAATTATATCATTCTTCTCGGTATTGGTCAAGGCGAGAGATTTGGTCAAAGAACATCTTCAATTACACACTCTATATCTGGCGAACAGTGACGCCGCCCGGCCAATGCTGCAACTTTTCCGAAGCCCTTCCATTTTTCCGCACCCCCTACCCATTTCCTTACATAAATATTTCACGAGCCTTCTGGATGTTATTTCATACCGGTTTGAGTGGATTGCTGTAGTAAAGGATCCTCGTATGTGAGAAAAATGCGCCAATGCCAAGACTTGGACTTGCTGATCATGATAACTTATAAGTATGATTTGAGCGTTTTCGAACATGATGCACTTACCGCCGACACCGGCAATAACCGTCATCCTTCGAGTAGTTGCTGAGTTGATGGCGGTTCCTGGAAGATCCCTGCAGGAAACATTGGAGCAACCAGTGGAAAGCTCACAGTTACTTTCAAATGTTAATGAAGGACCACACATAGCAAAGCTTCGTCGCATGAGCGCAGTCGTTTACTCAAAACGTCACAGTAGCGCATTACTCGGAGAGCTTCTCGATATCGACGAGCTCTCTCAGTCTTATTCACAATACGAGAAAGTGGTGCTAGAACGGTACTGCAATGCAACACATAATGCAGACTATAGAAACGTGACATCAAGAGAAAGAGAAGAAACAGTATGAGCGTGAACACGAACAGAACGCGTATATGGACACTGGTCAGTATCAATAACACATACGTACAAAAATAGAGACTAGGCAGAAAGCACCCTTTACGCGTTCACCTACTGCCAGTATTGGCGACCTGGCTGGTATGGGTAGAAGTTGCCTTCTGAATTAGCCTGCACCTGCGGGTACTGTCCCCGCACGCCGCGGCCTGCAGGTTGCTGTTGCACACCAACCCCTTGCCCTGAATCTTTGCGGTAAGATGCCTCAGGCGACCCGCTCTGTGCAGCTACTCCCCGACCCAAAAACCCCTGTCCATGTCCGTACAATTGCCTCTCACTGGATGTATGGTGGTTGTTTTGCGTCTGCTGCTGCGGGGGCTGGTGGTACCCGATATCATCGGTATACCCGCCAAATCCGCGTTGCACGCCCGCACCCATACTCAACCCGTCACTCTGTTTTGCGGGCTGGTGTTGATGCTGGAACATTGCTGGCGGAGTAGGAGCAGGGTACTTAACAAAGGGTGTAGGGTAACCTTGGTTGTAGGGACTGCCATAATACTGGTTTTGAGGATACGGATAAAAGTAGGGCATCGGCGGGGCGTAGGGTTGCTGTGTGCTTGCGGTAGCAGGTTGCGATGACTGAGATGTAGAGGGAGGGATAACCGACGAGGGGGGTTGTGAATGTTGGTGCTGGTGTTGTGAGGTAGGAAGACCCTTGACATCATCATGACCTAGGACATTACGATTGCCGCCAAACCCTGGAGATTGCGCATATGAGTCATAAAAACCTTGCTGCACTTATAATCAGAACACAAGATACAACAAGCCGGAACAGTGTACTGACACGTTGATTGTCACCATAGTATTCACTACCTCCAAAGCCGCTCAAGTGGCTACCTTGCGATTGGTGCTGCTGATGCTGCGTCCCAATCTGTCCAAAGGGACCCATACCACCACTCATGGATGCACTGTAGTCCTGCTGTTGAGGAGGCGTTGGTGCATTGAAGTATGGTGCATCTTGCCGGAAGTACGCCGCGGACTGGGCCTGCACCTGCTGGGCAGGGGTGTATTGTTGAGACTGCGTTTGCGGGCTGTCTAAGTGCAAGTGGGCAGCATACGGCTGAAGTTGTGGTAATTGCTGAGGTTGGTGCTGGGGTTGATGTTGAGGCTGGTGTTGAGGCTGGTGTTGAGGTTGATGCTGCGGCTGCGGCTGCGGCTGGTGTGGCGGCTGGTGCTGGTGTTGATGCTGAGGCTGGTGCTGCGGCTGCGAGGGAGGCTGCTGGGTGAAGCTGGTGCTCGACGGCGGAAGTGTAGGAAGGGACATCGAAGGTGCAAGAGCATGTTGAGGTACCTGTGGGATTGGTGCTGTAGGTTGGGGAGGTACAAATTGAGTTGTTTGCGAAGGTGGAAGAACAGGCTGCACTGGAGGCGGGAGAACAGGCTGCGAGGGAGAAGTAGCGATAGAGGCGGCGACAGACGGTGCAGACGCGGGAGTGATCTGTTGAGGTTCTTGTTGCTGAACAGGTGGAGGAGGCGCAAGAGGCGAGAGTGGCTGTGTGGCCTGCTGTGGGGATGGCTGCTGTTCAACTACGGAAGGTTCGACGCTGACCAAAAGATATCAGTTGATGATCCTCATATTAGTTCTAAATTTTGACTCACGGCATGGGCTCGATGACGTCTCCACCAAGACTCAAACTTCCAAACTGCATGCCTACTTTGTCCAGGCCAGGAGTGAAACTAGTCGACAAAGGCATGACAACAGCTTGATCGATGCCCTTGTACTTGCTACGAACCGCGGGCCGCGAAGAAAGAGATACAGGCGATTTGGACCGAGTAGGCGCATCCTGCTTTTGAATTTGGGTCGGAAGAGCTGACACGACAGCCACAGGCTCGGGTGCGGGAGCAGCGGGTTCCTCCTGTACTGCAGTGGGGGGCTCCGGTACGGGTTCTGGCTCCGACATCGACAGAGGTTGAGAAGTAACCCAAGCGTCTACAGGGGGTTGGTGTTGGGCTTGGTGTTGAGGCTCATCATCCCATTCAGGAGGCTGGACGGTTGTCGGATCCTCCCAACCTTCAGATACTGGTTCTACATTGCCATTAACAGCTGGTGGAAGAGGAGCGTGTTCAAAGGCTGATTCGGATGCAGGGGCGATAACTGATGGTAAAGGAGGCGCAGGGGGTGACGCTGCGACGAGTTTCTCTTGTGGTCTGCGCACAAGTAATGATTAGCTGTGGAAGATCAAACTAAATTCTTAATCGATGCGCACTTTGCAATCTGAGCCCAGGAAAGTTTGGAAGTTGCCGGCAGTTTAGCAGATGATATAGGAGGTTTGGACACGGTAGCCACATTACCCCAGCCAGTATTAGCACTCCACGGAGCAGAAATCGTGGGCTGCGATTGAGCAGGAGCCGATTCAGCAATTATAGGCTCTGAAGGCCAGGTGGTAGCTGTAGTCAATTCATTTGCATCCTGCGCAACACTCCAACCTCCATTCAACTCTGGCTTATCAACAGCATGTTCAGTGAGATCCTCAACCTGCGCTGGCTTGTCTTCGGGAGCGGGGGCAGAAGATTTGGCACGAGAAGAAGTATGACCATTGACTGCAGGTGCACCCCGTGCGCCACCTCGACCACGACCGCCTCTACCAGAACCACCGCGTCCCCCGCGTCCACCTCGACCGCCGCGCGAGTCACTACGTGAGATGTTTGGGTCCTTTGACGGTGCGTGCTGAGCTACAGGAGTCTTTTTGTCCTTTTTGCGCGTAACTGAACCCCATTGTTCTGCGTGCCCTATGGGTTGTTACGGAATTAACAAAACCATGACAAGAAAAATGGAAAAACGAATACGACATACCTTCACTGATTCGAGTGACTGCAAGCTCAAGATCACCGCCGACCTCATTGAGGAGAGACTGGAGATCTGAAAGTATGGATAATTAACGAAACGTCATGTTGTAAAATAAGGACGCACCTTCATTTGACCAGGCAGGGAATAGTTCTTGGAGTGTTGGAACTTGAGGGTGAAATTTTGATTCCGAGGGATCAGAGGGCAGTTTGTTTCTGAACGCGGCTGATTTATATGAAGACATATTCAACAAGGACGGACAACGACGACGAGACTGACGAGCAAAAGGTAAGAAGGACTGGTGGAGTTTGAAAATTCTAAAATACTAAATTATCCGGTCATAACATCCAGTAGGACACCACCTATAAGGGGGTCGATGCGGAAGCTCATTTAGGATGATAGTCCGTACCTAGTAGTCTATCTGTATTCGAATGTCACAGATGTCAGACTTGGGAGAAAACTAGATGAACAGATAGAGTTACGGTAAGGTCCCCCCCATTATATAAATCTGTAACAGGCTGTATAGATAGATATACTTGTACACTTCTAGTTGTTAGTACACTCTTGTACAAATATTACTTTTTATACAATAATTGAAATTTACACAGATTTCTACAGGAAGTATACTCTTTAAGGTTCACTTTGATGTGATTTGGAGGAAACAATGACATTATCAGAAATGTTAGCTATGAGAAGTGAACTGGGATGACAGGATTGGTGATGGGTTTTTGGGCAAAGGCATGCAGTGCTTTCTGGCCCTAGGGAAAGACCTAGATAGACTAAAAGAGTTGAGCTTCAATTCTCAAGTACTAATGGGACTAGATCAATCTTTGGTTAATGCTCTGACATCTATGATCTGGAAATCAACCTGAAATTGATATGACCAGGTAGAGCTGACAAATAGAACCCATTATGATCTCTTGATTTAGAATTATATATCATTATCTTTGCACAACATGTATATGAAAAAATATATGATTATGCCAGGAACATATCATTTTGATATGCACCTTACAAGTGCACAACAAATATATGAATGAATGTACTATGACTATGCTAGGGAAATGTCATTTTGATATGGACCTTACAAGTGTGCAACAAATATATGAATGAATAGTGGTACTCAAAATAACTTTTGAAACCTTTTAGAACCTTTTGAAAACTTGCTTAACATGCTAAACACACTCTGAATTCTTGGTTAAAGTTGGTTTCAACTTGCTCAAAACATGCTCAGCGCATGTTGGCACAAAGTTGGAGATTCAAACACTAAAAATTTTTCAAAATGTATGTTCATAGGGGAAAGTCGTACATAGAGTAAAAAAAAGCAACCCATAGTAGATATACATTATATTTCAAATGTTAACATTCATAAAAAAAGAGGGAGCAGGAGCAGGAGCGAATTGTGAACTCCCAGCATGAGGTGTTTCAAAGGCATTTGCGTGATAAGGTATATGAGGGCCCGGAGAGTATGTATTGGCCATATTGTGAAGGCGCAGTACTGGAAGGAAGGTAGTGAATGCCGGAGGGACTAAATAAGTGCCGAGGGGAGGAGGACACATGAAAAAGATCTGCAGATGTAAGGTAAAGTGAAAGATGATGTGGAGAGTATGGCTACCTTCGAGCTGCTTTCCAGGATGTTGCCGCCCCTCGAGCCTGGAGTTGAAGTGGATGATGGATCTTGAGTAGTGCTATGCTCTTGTGGGCCCATACTGGTGCGGTAATGTTTGGCAGATAAGCCATAGTCATTTCGCAGTTGCTCAGCAAGTTCCTCACACTCCAACTTCAAGAAGCCATGCACAATCCCAGTATGGGTAGCATGCTGTGACTTGATGAAACCAGCAATGGCTTGAACCGCCTTCTTTTTCATGGACGGTTTAGGCTGTACTGCGGCATAGTACAGGTTGGGGTGGTTGAAAGACTGCATCAGGCATAAGGGGTCGTGTAAACCTATGAGCCGGCTGGATTGGAGTGAGTGCAGAGTCAATCCCACAAGAAGGGGAGTGTAGAAGGTGTAGGGGGTAGTGAGGAACCAGTGGCTTGGCGGTAAAATTGAGCCGCTGTTGGTCATGTGTGGGACTGGCACTAGAATAGATTTCCTGTAAGATAAGGGTGAATATGTTAGCTGGAACTTACAGGAGGCAAAAAAAATACTTACCTTGGGTTGGTGACACCTGAAAATTTGATGTCCTGCTCAGTGCTGTGTGTAAGCATTGAGGCTGGATGGTGAGGTCGACGATGGCATCAGCATGCTCACTGTGAGACAAAACTTTGGAACTTTCCGAAATTTCAAACTCCGCCACAAACTATGTCACATATACACAAATGGATAGGAGTTTTGATTCCCTCGACTCCCCGATTGTGACCATGCCTCAACCATCCATCCGTAAAGAACTCCTGGCTATTGTAGACCAGGTCGAACTTTTCCTGGCCAAGCTACAGTACCAGGATATCCTGGATGATTGGTCTGACTTTGAGAGCAATTCTGACTCCGAGGACTCCCTTTCCACTACTTCAGATGATGATAATTCAATCAATCTATCTTTTAGCTTGCCTTCCCCCCCTCCCCCCTCTCCCCTATGACAGGGGCTTCAGATTCTTCCAGTGATGGTTCTATATCCTCCGATGACATTGCTGTGCCTTACAACCACCTCCGTGACACCATTAATGCTCTTCGTGATGAGGTTAAGAGGGCTTGTGTACTCCATAAGCCCAATGAGCCTCCCCCATGAGCACCTCAGCTTCACATGTTGGTTCATCATGAAGAACACCGCCCTCACTTATTTCAGCAAAAACTCCATGTTAACCCCGAGATCTTTGATGACATCCTCAATTTTATCTCTGATCATTCCATCTTCCAAAACCAGTCCAACAATCCTCAGCCCCCTGTCTCCATTCAACTTGCCATTTTTTTGAATCAAGCTGGCCACTATGGAAATGCTATTACTCTTGAAGATGTTGCTCAATGGGCAGGCATGAGTGTTGGGTCTGTGGTTAATCGCACTAATCGTGTGATGATTGCAGTGCTTGATGCTCACGATCAGTTTATCTGCTTCCCAGTGGATAATTCTGAGGATGCTGACTTGGCTTGCAAATTTGCCGAGTCGTGTACCTGCCCAGAGTGGAAGGGTGGCTTTCTAGCAATTGATGGCTCAACTATGAATCTTTTCACCAAACCTGGTTACTTTGGTGAGACATTTTATGATAGGAAATCTAAATATTCCCTTGGCTGTCAGGTATTTTTTTTTTGATCTTCATGTGCAAAAATTGATTTAATTCTAGGCAGTCATTTTGCCCCATAACCTTCTCATTGTGGATTATTCTCTGGGTCATCCTGGGAGTGTCCATGATGCATTCGCTTTTCGATCTACCCATCTCTATGAAGAGCATGCTGACCTTCTACCTGATAGTCATTGGGTGTGGGCTGACAGTGCATATCCATTGGAGCCATGGTGCATTGCCCCTTTCAAGAAGCCTCGCAATGGGCGGTTGACTAAGGACCAGAAGACATTTAATTATCATCTCTCTAAGGTATTTTTTTTTGAGATTTATATTTCAGTAAATTGAATTTTTTTAGATCCATGTTCGTGTTGAACACAGATTTGCTGTTTTGAAGGGATGGTTCCAGTCCCCTTTGAGAGCTCCAGTTCAGAATTCAGGCTGAGAAAGACCTTGAGTTTGCCGTGCAGTGGATCAAGTGCTGCATTATCCTACACAACATGATCATTCACTTTGAAATCGAGCATCGCAAGAGGGATGGAACATACAAGAGTTCTCTAAAGTGAGCTCGTGCCGAGGGGGAAGATTTCATTGATTGAGAAGTTGAGTATCCAGATGGTGAAGAAGTTGTTGAGGACAGGACTTATGAAGGGACTCCAGGTCAAGCTGCTCGTGCAAGGCTGATGAATGCACTCTTTGACAGTCCTCACTCAAATGCACACCATAGGGAAGGATGATTCACCACAATGTTTGATTGAACATGTACTACCACTTAAACACCTGTACAACAAATGTATGTAGCTATGTAAATATCAATCAAGAAAGCACCAACAATTACAAGACCAAAAACATGTGCATGCAATGGAAAAAAAAAACATAAGGATGTAAACAAACATACAGCAACAAATGACATAGTGACAACAGATAGATGAGCGACGATGAGATGATAATGAGATAACAAGACGACGACAATGATGAGATGGTGATGACGATGACGAGACAATGACAATGAGATGATGATGACAACGAGACAACAACGATAGCGAGACGATGATGATGACAACGATGAGATGATGATGATGATGATGACGACGGAGATGATGACACAGAGACATGGAGACACGATGACATGACAGAGACAATGGAGATGACAACATGACGAAAAAAAGACTCATCCAGCTCCTCCATCTGATGCGGCCTTGCCAGCCTGCATCATTTGGTGGTACTGGATTTTGAGTCGAAGGGTCTCTGCCTCTTTCTCAAGCACCAACGAATGGGCTTCATGGACTTGGATATCCATCTCGTGAAGGTGAATTTTGGTGTCCTTAGTCTCCTGCAGCTGCTGATGGCTTACAGTGGCTTGGGAGGCCTCATATTTGTGGTTAGTGCGAAGCCACTCATACTTTTTGATATTGTGATTGTGCTTGCTCTTCATGTCGAGCTTCATGAGGAAGCACTGGTGCTTGCTGTCGTGGCGGGACATGGCATCAGAGTGCATACTCTGGATCTCATCCTTCATCTGGTCCACCTGTTCCATCATGTCCAATTTCGCTTTTTTCTTCTTCAAACTGCTGGTGCTGGTTGGGAGTGACATCTGGGGAGTTGGGGACACAAAGTAGTCTGACGTTGAGGTAGTATTTCGTGTCATCGACATGCTCCACGACATCTCTGATGGTCGTCTGCATTGTCCCCCATGGCTCAACGGCTTCTGTAAGCCAAACACTGAGTGGTTGTTATAGGAAGATGCCAGGGATTTTGTAGGCCTGTGGAATGGTTCTGGAGTGTTAGGAGGGGGCGATGGTGATGAGGGAAGCTGCTGTTTCTTCCCCGCAACACGGGAAGGGCTATCGGTTGTCCTGTTGACCATCATATCATCATCTTCGAAATAATCTCCAAGTGGGGCATCAAATGGTCCGCTAATGTCTTGATCGAAGTCATCATCTTTGGCGTTATGATTGTCGAGGGTGTCTTGTGGTGTTGGGAGACCAGGAAGGTGGAATTGGGGGATGTATTATAAGGGGCGGTATGGGAGGGAGCAGGAGCTGGAGTGAAGGGAGCAGGAGCCAGAGTGAGGGGAGCAGCAGCTTGAGTGAAGGGAGCAGCAGCTGGAGTGAAAGGAGCAGCAGCCGGAGTGAAGGGAGTAGCAGCTGGAGTGAGGGGAGCAGGAGCCGAAGTGAGAGCAGGAGCAGGAGCGAATTGCAAACTCCCAGCGTGAGGTGTTTCAAGGGTATTTGCATGATGAGGTATATGAGGGCCAGGAGAGTATGCTTGGCCATAATGTGAAGGCACAGTACTGGAAGGTGAGGGATATGTGGGAGCGTGAGGTGACCATTGCAAAGTAGTGCTGAAGTGTGTGGGGGGACCAGCCCCACCACGCAATTGAACGAGTGAATATAGCACACTGGCGTGATCAATGCCCGGCTTTGAGGAGTGGGTGACTGTGGCCATGGACGAATTAGAATGTTAAATTACATCTAATTCTGTGTACCATGGCAGCTCTGAAAGTGCTGCATCTACGATGATCAATCAATTGAGAACTAAAAAATTGAGACAGGGACTCACCTAATAGATTCTTTGCTTGGGTCCCTTCAGCTGACATCACACCAGCACTGGTGCTGCTAAATGTCACCTTAAGTTTCTTGTATTTACCCCTAAGACTGCACAAATTCTAGTATTTTTATGAACAGAACAAAAAAATAAAACAACATACGTTCCAATATGGTTGCCAACTGCATCACAGAATTTTTTGGGATTGATGGTGTATGTAGCACCATACTTAGGGTGGCCTGCAAATAAGAGCTTGGCGATATTCTGGTAGATTTGGCCTTTATCCGACCCTGATGGATGGTCGTCGACAGCGGCCATTGCTTTTTTCCCATCAGAGTAAAATAGGACCCTACAATCAGCAGCTTGAGTCGTCAGATAATTTACCAATGTATCAGTCAGAGCGTGGTTGCTTTGCCACTGAATAGCTAGTCGTGGTCCAGATGATTCTTTGGGTGGTCCTCGAGAGGTTGATGCATCGTCCATTGCCCTCAAGTCCAATGGAGCATTAGATTTGAGGTGTGCAGAACATTGAACACATTAATGATGGGCAGGAGGCATAGTTGTTTCGAAGTCCAACGTACAATGCTGGCCTGACCTTGAATCAGCCGAGGTTTCTAGCCGTGAGTTTGAAGCATTTAGCCAGCATTTAACTGAGTTTCAAAACCTTCCAAAACCTATTTTGAGTACCACTAATATATGACTATGCTAGGGAAGTGTCATTTTCATATGGACCTTACAAGTATGCAACAAATATATGAATGAATATATGACTATGCTATGGAAATGTCATGTTGATGTGCCATTATAGGTAGCGGTCAATGTGACATGTGGTCTTTCATAGACTAGTATTAGCTGGCTGATGGTGATCAAACTTATAATATGTTGTGACACCTAGGCATATGCGCAGGTATGGGTAACCTGTGCAGGTCATGGGTATGGGTAGGGGTCTGCATTTTGGGTACCTGGACCCTCACCTGCACCTGCACACTCAGATTTGACCAGTACATTACCTAATTGAGAACTATAGCGGTACTTCCACTTGTATTCAACTGCCTATTGCTAATGCTTACACCTGCCTACTATAGTGTGTTATGCACCTCCATCTTCTTCAACACAATACCTACCCTCAAGTTCCACAGACAAAGTGAGTTTGTTGATCCTCCTTTGAGTTTGAGCTACACTGATCAAAGTTGTTGCCTGCCATTCACAGTTTATGAGTGCATTGATCCTCCTTTGAGTCCAAGCCACACTGATACAAGCTGTTGCCTGCCATTGGTAGTTCATGAGTCTGTTGATTCTCCTTTGAGTTCGAGCCATGCTGATCCAAGTTGTTGCCTGCTGTTCACAGTTTGTGAGTCTGTCGATCCTCCTTTGAGTCTAAGCCACGCTGATCCAAGCTGTTGCCTGCTGTTTGCAGTTTGTAAGTCTGTTGATCCTCCTTCAAGCTT